GCAATGAGATTGGCACAGGATAGAGCACGGTTTAGGGCTGTTGTACATAGGGTCGCTATGAGTCGCAAACGACTCGCCGGCACATAACAACAACAAACAACAAAACCATCTGGTCCATGGCTCTGTTGTTGTTCTTGGAAGTTGTTTATCTGTTCAATTTCTTCTTTCATAATAGGTCTTTACAGCTTTTCCATTTCAGTCTATGTGAGTTTAGGTGAGGTCTGCATTTCTAAGTTTTTTCCATTTCCTCTAGGTTTTCATATTTGTTTGAGTATAGTTTTTCATAATCTTCCATTGTTAACCTTTTAATTTTAGTTGGTCCTGTTATGACATTGCCCTTTCAACTCTTATTCAGATTATTTGTGTCTTTTTTTTCTTTTCTTTTGTTAGTTTTGCTAGTGGTTTGTCAATTCTATTGACCTTTTCAAGGAACCAACTCCTCATTTTGTTAATGGTTTCAATTGTTTTTCTGTTTTATATTTCATTTATTCCTGCTATAAATTTTATAATTTCTGGGGTTTTTAGGGGGTATTGGGTTTACTTGTTCTTTTTGAATTTGTTAGAGAAGTTGGGTTATAGAATCAATTATCATTTTTTCTAGTTTTATGACGTATTTCCTCATTGCTCTAAATTGACCTTTTATTACTGCTTTGGTTGTTTTCCAGAGGTTTTGGTTGTTGTTGCTGTTATGTGCCATCGAGTTGCTTGTGACTCATAGCAACCCTATGTACAACAGCCCTAAACTCTGCTCTATCCTGTGCCAATCTCACTGTCTCTGACACTCCCATCCTGATTACCCCAGTCACTGAATCAATACACCTCAAAGAGGGTCTTCCCCTCCTGCACTATCCATCCACCCTCCCAAGCATGATGTCCCTCTCCAAGGACTGGTCTCTCCTAACAACATGTCCAAAGTATGTTAGACGGAACCTCAGAATCTGTAAGTTGTGTTTTCATTGTCATCTTTTTTTCAAGAAACTTTAATTTCATATTTATATCTTGTATTATCTACTCATGTTCAAACAAAATGTTGTTCAGCTTCCAAATGTATGGCTTTTTTTATCCTTTATCCTCTTGTTATTCATTTCTAGTTTTGTAGCATTGTGGTATGTGAAGTTGTTTTGTATTATTTCTGTTATTTAATTTATTGATGCTTGCCTTGTGACTTAAAATGTGGTGTATTCTGGAGAATGTTCCATGCACATTCGATAAGAAGATATACTGCACTTTTTTGGGGTGCATTAGTCTATACACCCACACATATATAATATAGACTGGTTTTATTGTATGGTTTAATTCTTCAGCATCCTTGTTGAGTTTCTTTCAGCTAGTTCTATCTTTTCTTGAGAGTGGTATAGTGAAGTTTCCAACTGCTATAGTGGTCTTTCCTATTTCCCTTTTCAGTTTTTTAAAATGTTTGCTTTGTATATTTTGCAGCTTTCATTTCGTTCATAAATATTTATTATTTTTATGTCCTCCTGTTCTATTGACGCTTTAAGCATTATGCAGTGATCTTCCTTGTCCTTTATGTTGGTTTTTACATTGGAATTTTTATCAGAGATTAATATCATTACTTCTGCTTTTTTCTGCCATTTACTTGCTATATTTTTCCCCCACCCTTTTATATTTAATTTTTGCATCTCCACTTTTTAGGTGTTTCACTTATAGACAGTGTATTGATAGGTTTTGGATTTTTTGTCCAATATGATACTTTTTTCCCCTCTTCAGTGGTACATTTAAACCATCCACATTGAGTGTCATTATTGAGAGGCAAGCTTTTATTATTATCATTTTGTTGAGTTCTTTTTGGTGGTGTTGCTGGTTACTTTGGTCTTTCTTGCTTTCTGTGACATCTCTGTATACTCCGGGTGAGGGTTGGAGAGTGCGGGGAGAATATATACCAATGAAGAAGTTTTTGTTTTGCTTTTAAAGACGATCTAACTGGGAGGGATTGAGGTGGGCAGAGAGAAAAGTGCAACAATGAATTAATGGAAATCCAAAATCTCTGTAAATGTTTATTAAAATTAATAAAAAAAATTTAAAAGGGAAGAAAAAAGAAGGATATCTTTCAGTATTTCCTGCAACACTGGTCTTATTTTTACAACCTCCCGTAGGCTCTGCTTTTGTGAGAATATCTTGATCTCTCCTTCATATTTTTGCACAGTTTTTCTAGGTAAAGTATATTTGGTTGATATTTATATTCTCTGATTGTATGCCATTCCACTGTCTTCTTGCTCACATGGTTTCTGCTGAGATATTGGCTCTTAATCTTGTTTTCTCTCCCTTATATGTTAATCTTTGTTTCTTCCCTGCTGTTTTCAGAATTCTTTCCTTATTTTTTGGTTCTAGCACATTTGACTATGATATGTCTTGGTGTTTTTCTTTTGTGGTCTATTCTATATGGTGTTCCCTCACCTTCTTGAATACAGATTCTCATTCTTCATTATGCCTGAAAAGTTTTCTTCTAATAGTTCTTTCACAACTTTCTTGGTACTTGCTTCCTTCTGTTCTTGGATTCTAATTATGCACACATTATTCCTCTTGGTGATGTTCCCTATTATTCTTAAGCTTTCTTCTTTTCCTTTCCTTTCCTTTCCTTTCCTTTCCTTTCCTTTCCTTTCCTTTCCTTTCCTTTCCTTTCCTTTCCT